TCTCTCTCTCTCTTTCCTTTTCCTTAAGTTTCTGCTTGAAAACTCTGAAAAAAAACACGAAGAAGTTATTTCAGAGATAACTTTTAACGAATTCGATATGCTTCGACATACAACCAATTTCTCTCGATGAAATGGATTTTTCGCAGCATGATTATACCGAGAATACAATTGTACCGAGAATACAAAGTATTTTGAATAGGAATGATAATTTAAGAAAATGATCAAGACACGAAACCATGAAACGAAACGATAAAAAGAAGATAAGTCCCAACTCTTTTGACAGTGAAGTAATTATTAACGTTTGTGACATTTTTTTGGGATAAGTGAATAGCTGTAGGAGAAATTCGAATATCCGTGTAATGCTGAGAAATTCACGATTCAACGTCCGAGATTTTTTTTTATCATAAATTTCATTAAATCTTAGATTTCATTTCAATTAATTTTGTCAGTGTCATCGTCATTCAATTTAAAAGGTCACAGGCATTCAGTCTGAACACTCGCTGAACGTTAAGAAGATATTTCACAAATTCTTCTTTAGTATTTCTCATCAATGTTAGGCAGTTTATTAAACATCTGTAAGAACTGACTCACTCACGAAAGAAGAATTTATTAAACGTTCCTTTAACGTCCTTTCTTCAACGTTAGTATTTCTTCAACGTGCCTACATTTCAAACGAGTATCATCTCAAATAATCGAATCGAAAAGGGCGCTCACCTTGGAAAAAAAGAAAAAAAAAATCGTACCTTTATTTTCAGGAAACCTTTAAAACCATCGCATCGCAGACGCGTGAATAGTGAAAAAAGCAGTGATGCTTTTCATTCACGAGCCCATCTGTTCGTCCCCCCGTTGGCTACCTCCTTTCTTTTAATCCCTGTTTCATTAATAGTTCTCCGGTAATTCGAGCCCACTTCAGCTCCGTTCACCTCGAATCACCACCGACGGGATTCCCACAGTAACTTCCGTCGAGAGAGATCCCCCGAAATAGACGCCCCGGCGGTCTCACTTTCTCTTCTCTCTTCCCGTTGGAGGGTTGGCAGTTGCCAATCTGTTACTCAATTCCCCGACGTAGTCTGGGAAGATCAAGTTGGAATTTCCACGGTTAAAGTCGATGTAATTCTGCAGGATTATTGAACAGACGTACTGCAATCGCACTTTCCACTTGGACGGTTTGCCAATTCGATCTAAAATCTATTGAGTTAGAATATAACGCACATGATTCAACCATTGTAACTATTCTCTAATTGAATTGAATAGAATTGTACTAAAATATAATTAGAATACAAAGATACAAAGATACAATAACGTAGCATAGAAATCAAAATTAATAGGTGAAACAAATCTCTGCCTGTGTCCCAGTTTTTAAATTATTACCATTATTACCATTAGGTAATTAGTAGGAAATAATGTAGCATAGAAATCAAAATTAATAGGTAAAACAAATCTCTGCCTGTGTCCCAGTTTTTTAAATTATTACCATTAAAATATAAACTTACTACATTACTTATACATATACAATACTATACAGTATTTGCTATACAATACTAAATTTACTAATATATATTAATTTATTAACATACTTATTAGATTTATTAATATATATTATATATCATTTGTTAGATTTATATTTATTAAGTTATTTATTGGATATATGATATTTAAAAGGTATAAACATCTTAATTACGGAAACCTATGGCATTCTACCGCACATAATAGCGAAGTGGGTGCCGTTATAACATGCGGGGGCGTATGCACGTGCACGGCCATTGAGTCGTCGTCGGTGCGTGAAAGAATCCCGCAGGGGGTGCGTTGCCCGTTGAAGAAAGTCCGCTGCGGCTGACCGCTCGTTAAAAAGTTTAACCGGCCGTTTATTAGCAGAACAGAGAGGGAACGAGTACAAGAACTCGAGGGAGGAGTGGAGCAGTAAAAGAGTAACGGCGCGTATATATATATATATATATATGTATATATAGGGCGAAGGAAATGTAGCCTTCCAAGCCTCCCCCTTTTCTCTTTTACTTCCACCCCCGGGTTTGCTGTTCCGCGGGTTAATTCTTGACGCGCACGCTTTCGATAACAAGGTTGCCTCGAGTGGCTCTTCCAAGCTTGCCTCTTTGGGGGGAGGTTCTGCTTGCCCCAAGAGCAACTATATATCGAGTGTTCCGCTGTTTAACTTAATTGCCGCTAGCTGCTACTTCGCAGTTGCTCTTTTCATGCAAAGGCCTAGACCCCGCCGGGATCTCATTGCGTATTTCTTTCCTTAATATCTTCCAGCGTTCCCGAGATCCTGTTCACGACATTGAGCCATCGTTTTTCATATCTAAAAGAAATTACAACATTTATAGTACAGACGAGAACATTTTCAATATGGTGCATCGCGTAACTCGTAAAACTAAATGGTAGGTTTGAACAGTTTGAGAAGTGGATTAGATTTCAACAAGAATCAGTTTAAGAATAATTATTTAGAAACAAGATGTAGCACTTCAGTAAATTTTGTTATATCAAATATGAATAATGTGATACATTAATTATATGAAATAGTCAAATTCTCTTATCTCAATGGAGTAGGTATACTAATTGTATGTAATTCGATGGACGTGATATACCTATTTGTAAAAATTTTTATGGAGGTTTGTACGTCTCGTTTCCATCTACATGACGATAAATCGTTACACGTTCATCGTTACGCGATTGGTCGAAACGGTCCGACGTGAATATCAGCGGGTGGTAAATACGCGCGGGGTTCACAATAAAAGATGCACAACGTTTTTTCAAGGGTGTCAAGGATCCGTAAGAGTCAATTCGGCGTGCGTCGTAGAACAATGTAAAGTGTTTGCTCGCTGGAGAATTTCATAGGTATTGTGCGTATTAATGCGCGCTTTTTCTTTTCGTTTCTTTTCTTTCTTTCTTCCTTTTTTTTTTCTTTTTTGTTTTTCTTTCTTTTTTTTCTTTTTTTTTTTGTTTCGCAAGCGAACGATACGCCCTGTTTTGTTCCAGGCACAAAGAGGTCGAGAATCTCTGAGAGCACTACGGGAACAATGCTTTCCACGAGCGACACCGGTAACGAAGACGACCGTGACTCCGACTCTGGTGGAGAACTTCTTGCTGACCGTTCGCTGGGTAAGGCTCCCCTCGAATTTCGAAATTAATCTGTGGTTTAAATCGATCGAAGTGATTTTGTTCCACAATTTGTCCAGTAGATATCATTCACCTTTAACCATTAATGTATATACAGTGACGAATAAAAGGAAGAAAGTTTAAGATGCAAGTGTAAAATAGAAGACATTGGAATAAATTTATTGTTACCAATTTAGTAGATTGTTAACACCTACGATGTCGCTGCTGCAAGCTTCCTCTTGCTTGCTACAAAGTCAGTGAGCCCAGCGAAAATATGAAATCTATTGAATCTCAATTCTTCGTCGCATCTGTTTATGAAAGATATCAAGCATTTTCATGCAGTTAAGAATTTAACTTTAGAAAGAACTTCCTTGCAACAGCAGTGCCAACGTCGGTTGGAATGGCCGAGAACGATACAGCGCGGAAACGGTCGAACAGCCTGAACGACTCGGAGGATGGAAGTCCGGAACCGGGTTCCCAAAGTCCGACGCATACACCTCCATTGACACCAGCGCTGACGCCGCAAAGGGAGGACACGCCGGCGCCAGAGAATCTCAGCCTCCGCAAAAGCGGAAGCCCTCTGCAAACGCAGCAGACCCTTCAGCCAGTGGACCTGGTACAGCCTAGACCTAGCCCACCGTTACCTTCGTTGGCTGTAAGCTTTCTACTTGGCTCCTTTTACCATTACTGGCTCGCACACACACACCACCAGGTTTTCAAACGCTCGAAGCCTTTTCGCATGGATTGCAGAGGGACGAATTTATGAGCTTTAAAATTTTCGCGATAAAATCAATCAGCCTGATCTCTCGGAAATTTTTCAACGTACGATTTTCGACTTCATCTCTTGCAATTATTTCCGCAGTTTCTTAGATAGATAGATACATCTGAGAACGGAAAGTTCTGTGGTTCTATTCTATAATAAGTAGAATAATAATAATAAATAGTAAGCACTGTGGTGTGTCGTTAATAGAAATTCACACATTTGTGAATAAATTAATTGTATATAATATATATAAAGAAAAAAATATATATACATGTGTATAAAAGTATACCTAGATATAGAGAATCTCAGTTGAATTTAATTTAAATATCCCATAATATCCCATAGATAGATAAAGAATATAGTTAATCAAAGCTAAGATAGTTGTTCAATTTGTATAATTTTGTTGTATAGACACTGTTGGCGTGGAAACAGTGCAACTTATTCTGTATTAATTTCTATGTAATTCTACAAGAGAAGAGAAGAAAGATTTGAAGTCTGAGATTACGTCTGCCTATTGTGAGATCATTTGCACGTTATTTCTAAGAAAGTCAACAGTGACTGCAATCTGTTTTCCAGGCTGCAGCGACGGCAGTACACTTTCCACCTTACGCCCCTCTCTATGGTCCAGCAGCGAGTTCCCTTTACTGTTCTCCAGCGTTGTACCAGCATCAGCACCACCATCACATGCCAGAGCCACGTGAGATTCAAATGCAGATGCAGATGCAAAGTATCCAACAGACCTGCGGCCTCCAGTTGCAGCAGCAGCAACAGCAACAGCAACAACAGCAACAACAACAACAGCGATCGCCCGTCGACGTTCTGCTACGAGTGTTCCCCGGAAGGCGTCGCGCGGACGTCGAGGCTCTGTTGCACCGGTGCAAAGGTAGGCCCTGCAATCCGATATCCGCGACCATTATTCGTGGACAGGACACGATCCTCCATCGAGAGGAAAGATTGTCAGGCCGACACGTGGCTGAGAAACAATTCGAGAAGATTCGTCCAGCGTGTTCTCGAATTTCCATTGCAACCGACGGCCGAGTTTCAACCCCTTCGGTCTCGCGAGACTCGTGGTTGTACCATCCACGTTAGGATACGTTTGTTGGAAGCAGTTCCTGGGAAGAATGGTGGCTCGTACTTAGCCGTTGAAACTTTAGAACGATGTTCCAAGATTAATTTTGAGACATTCTGAATAAATTTTAGAAGTAACTGAAGTGATTTAGTATATAGCACTAATGGGACTTTCCAAGGATAAACGTGTTAATAAGTTCACGTTTTTCTTGCATTATCCTTGCATCATCCCTTGCAAAATAGAACGCGCAAATTTTGATCAAGAGAATCATGTTTACAAATCAGATCATATAGTGTATATAACGATCACTATAATGTTATATAACTGTTAAGACAAGCGCAATATATATACAAAAAATTCCAGTTTTGAAGCAAGTTTAAAACAAAATGCTACATCAGGCTTTAAATTATTCCAAAGGACACTTAAACGCAAATAGTAGACGTTAAATTTGTTTTTTTTTTAAATTGTCAAACCACTTGTCACCGAAGGGGTTGTATTTCCAAATCTCTCACAAAACGAACAAAATAGTGGTAGATATATACAAATCCAATAATCTCTAATGCCCTTAGTAAGATACCTATACATCATGGAAGCCAATCGGTGTAAGTCATTTTCCATTAAAAATGACATTAAGACTTCTCTAGCCCCGATGAAACAGTTCAGTCATATCATAATAACTAAACTCTTCCATCAACTGAAGATTCTAACAGTAGAAAGTGTATTCGCGTAGAACAAGTTTGTTTTTAGTGAAAAATGGCTCGACAAATTGGTTTTTAACCTTCCTTATTAAACCTTGTAACCTGTCCTTCTCTTCCATTATCTCACCTAGGTCAGAAGTCCCTGTGTCAAACCTCCACCCAACCTAATCACAAACAAACAAGCCAAAAAGAGAGAGAGAGAGAGAGAGAGAGAGAGAGAAAGAGAGAAGCAAGAAAGAAATTTAGAGAGAAAAGACTGGGGAACAAAAACTGGCAGGGGTGTCTGTGTCACAGGCGACGTGGTGTCGGCGATGGAGGTGTTGGTATGCGAGGACAATCTCCAGCCGAAGTCTGCGTTCTCGCCGCTGGCGGGCGCGTTAGCGTCAGCTGCAGCCGCGTCTGCCTCGGTCTCAGCCGCGTACGCGAGCCGAGCCGCTTACTGCACCACTCCCATACCATCGACCAGGCACAGGTTCCTGGCAGCGCCGTACGCGGGTACCGGTTACCTGCCCACGGTGATCAAGCCGCCCAATCAGAGCCTGCACGCGAATGGGACAGGCGACGCCTATCGGGAGACTAGTCCCGACGACGCGAGCGACAAGACGAGCTATTCCGAGTGACCGGACGACGCGCAGGCCGCCACCTGGTCTTACCTGCAATAGCTTAGGGACAACGGTGGGGAGGGATTTCGGCCGTGGAAATGGTGGTACGTCCGCTGCCGTCTCTTCAAGAGGATCGAACAAATCATCATATCGGCGATCGAGAGGGTTTCCGGCAAGGGAGAGCCTCTCTCGGTGGGGAATGGTTCGAGCTCGTTGTGATAAGGAATTATCACTTGGTAATTTCCCAATTTTGCTGTCACGACGACCCCGTACGACGTGACAGATTCGGAGGGGAATGCAGAGACTTTGAGAAAGAAATTTCAGAGCTGATCAAAGGAGAGAAACTTGAAATTGAAGCTGATTCAGAATTACGAATTAATGGAGTTATCGTGGAGTAATTTGGAGGTCACGGCGAGAAGCTGATGAAATGTCGAAGGCGGTGATTCCGGGAATATACGAGACGATTTCTTGAAGAGAGAATCATCTTGCAAATAAGATGAATCTGGAGAACCTGATTACACGATACAAGTCCGGAGACGGATGATTCTGATGATGGGAATCTGCAACAGACTTTAAAGAGTTGGAATTGCGAGACGGTTTCTGCAAGCAGACTTGCTGTCATTTTACAAATGAAACGAATTGCCACAGGTTGTCACCGGGGCTTGTGAGAGGAAGAAGAGTGTTGGAATTTGTTATGACGAAGAAGCAGGTGATGGACTGTCTAGAAATTGTCGTGAGAATAATTGAAGAACACGAGTATGATTAAAATGGA